CGGTTAGGTCTCCACGTTTAGGAATAGAACGTTTCAGTGTTTCGTAAGGTTCAGAAACATCACGGGTAAACATGCTAGGTGTTACGTACCTGTTGAATTAGAGCGATGGTACCTTGACTACTGCGAGGAATTGTGCACGTGTGTCGATCACGCCGTGCTCGTAGAAGTCAGCTTCTGCATAGCAGAACCGGGCTTCGATGTTGTCTGGCTAGAAAGGCATCAGCTGAAACGAAGGTGGGGACAAAGACTTAAGCTTAAGTACTTTGGGTGTCTGTTCAGTTATGGTGAAATAGGAAGTACGAGAATGAACGAGGGAAAAATATATATATGTCCAAAAACACGAAAAAATATCACAATGTATAAAAAATTAAAATAAGGCAATGATATATAGGGTCCCAAAAAAGAACAGATTCACAGTTTGCAATTTGGTGTACCAGATCACGTTAGGCTCACCAATGAAGATGCCACAGGTATTCAGAGTTTGACAACGCCTTGACCAGTAACACCTTTTAATATGAATTGTACCGACTAAGTGAAGTCAAAAGACAGAAATGAGGAGATTCGTATATATATTCGATCGGCTATCAATATATCGAGTGTCATCTGGTCCAATCTGGCTAGCGATTGCAAAGTTTGTTGAGCACCGCATTCCCGTTCGTGATCTGGTTCTGATGCATGACCGAGCGCTTTTAGCTAGGTGGGTCCATTAAAACTATTATGGTCAGCATCCAATATCGAAAACTTACAGAGCTATTTATTTTGGGGATTTATTAACCTCTACACTCCTAAGGATTTCCTTGTATGTCGTAGACAGAAATTAATAATAAATTCCATGTGCTCCATAATCTTCCAAGTTTAGTAAAGTTCACAATGTTATTATACGCTGATTATGTAAAGATTTGTCGAGTAACAACTGAAAACACAGACGTATATTATCTTCAGGCAGACTTAAGTAAAATGATTAACTGGTCCTGAGAGTGACTGATGCCCATCAACGCGGCAAAGTGTGTCTACATGCAATTTGAGGATACACAGATAAATAGGGACAGCATCGGAGAAGTGCCTGTACCCGCGGTCCGATCTCACAGGATCTTGAGGTGTCAGTTGATCATGATCTTAAGACAATGACCCACTACCGGGAGGTTGCAGATGGGGGTTTAGAACCATCTAACCTATAAGACGGACATTCACTAAGTCAGATACTACCACGTTCACTACAACATACACAATCTTAGTGAGAACTAAGCTTGAGAACTGCATTCAGGCTGCAAGCCTCTACTTAAAAGGTGACTCGGATATCCTGCAAAATGTACAGAAGGCATCAACCCATGCAATTCCAGAACTCCGTGGTTTACCATACAATGAACAACTTGAGAAGCTGAACCTTCTTTCTCAGTCCCGTCGTAGATTAACAGGTGATCTGATCTTGATGTATAGAATATTAAGAAGTGATTTTGGACATAATGTATCCTCTCCTTTTCTTCCTACAGGATCGGGATATCTCAGAGGACATAGTAGGCAAGTAGAAAAGACAAGAACGAGCAAAATACCCGTAGCATACAGGTTTTTACATCGAGTCATCAATCCTTGGAACTGGTTACCCACAGTAGTGGTGTTCGCACCTTCAATTGACTCATTTAAGAGAAGGATGGACACTCGTAGAAGCATACTAGAAAAGGAATAACATAGGCTGTGGGTCTTTTGTCCTTACTACACAGATCTGTATCTGAATCTGAATGGCCGCAACATTTGAATGCTGACGTTTAAACGCTTCGGCAGCGCTCCAGGGGTATCGCGACTTGTTTTTGCGCTACTTTTTCATTTCTGCTTTGTGCACAACAAAATTTCGAAATTGTTTATGAATAAATATGAAAGTTTATTTTCCGTTTTCATAATTAGGTGAAAAGGGTTTTTTTTATTTTGCGTTACATATTATCACGAAGTCCTTGAAAATTCATTAATCAGGTGCTGCTATAATAGTTTTTCGTGTTTGCATCGCAGACTAGCAATTATTTCTACTTAGATATACGCTGATGGTAGACAAAGATTTTTACTGTTTTGTTTAACTTTCGTGGCAGAAATAGGTTGATAGTGAAAACATTTGGTTTCCTGAGTGTTGTAAATATTATGTATATGCTATAGATGATAATAACACATACCAAGATATTAATATCACCTTTTACAGTTAGATATATTAGACACCAAATTATTATATTTCAGGAAATAAATCATAATCATGCGAAATAGGTATAATTATGTGAAGATTTTACCAGAGATCAAGCTAGGATAGCATTACTACATCTTGTGTAGAGCTACAATGTTTTGGCTGCCGGTATTATTACAAAAATACCTAATAGCAGAAATAAGTACTGATATAAAGCTGTCACGAGAAAGCACTGAAAAGTACGATTCGATAGTCAAGATATCTTGATCTAAGGTGACCAAATTGTGTGAGATCGTATGTGATGATCTTCGGAAATCTACCAAGGTCTGTCTAGCTTACGTGCTGATGCCGTAAATGACAATTACTCATAACTTACGTGGGACTAAAATAGAATATGCATCAAGAATTGCAGGTTACACATGACGATTCAAAGTAAATTCACACAGTAGTCTTTATATATGTTCATCGTCTAAGTTTCCGAAGTGCAACCTGTCCAAAGAATTAAATAATACAATCCGTGTATGTTGTGACCCAGACTTTTCTAAGCAACGCAAGAGATAAAGAAAATAAACGTGATTGACTATCCAAAGGAAGGGTGTGCTAAATACACTTTCGATCTGTAATTGAATACTTGTTTCCGTTTTTATACTAGTTTCTGGTAAACATTTATACTGCAATAACTATTTCCTGTCTATCTTATTTCCAGCTGGCTTCGCAAGTTTTCACAGACCTAATGGGGACAAATCCTAAGAAATAGAATTTATTTTTGAGTAGATCATTTGTGCTAGATTTAAACTTTAATAAACGTTTTCATTTATAACGCATCAGTCTTCTAATTACGGCAATTCTTATCTATCGTGACAGGTCGAAATTCGAACTAGTATGGTACACCATGTTCAAGGTAGCAGTATTTGGTAAACGGTATGTATGACTAATCGCGTGTGCGCCAAACTGGTAATTATTACACAAGAACGTGAAACAACGATCCCTGTCTCACAGCCACATAATACTGCACAGTACACTCCCTGCCGTTACACTATAAAAATAAGTCAATGGCCATATAAATGAATTTATGTAAAAACTAAAAAGATTACAATATTAGAACTTCTTGTTATCAAAAAGCATAGCTATGGTCAGTGTTAACAATGGATTCTGACGATATAGCTTCATCATTAGCACTGATTGAACTCATCACGTGTGCGCATATGTCTTCCGATGCTTCGAGGCATGAACGGATGAGTTTACTTGCCAAAGGTTCACTAAGAGCATGGATTGAGTGGTAGTTGTTAGTGAATTCTAGCAGATCATCACTCTCTGTAGAGATTGACATGTTGTCCAGGGCACGAATAACAAGGTCTATTATGTATTTTCTTGTCCACCGGTTGCTATGCCGAAATAAGTCTACAAAACTTATAGAGATTAAGGAACACACATACCTCCACGAATCAGATCTTTAGAATGTACCTACAAAATATGACCACAGGGCAGCATGTAGTCACTGAAACGCTCACAAGCACATCGTGCACGTGAAGTATCAACAACATACATCATACCCTTGTCGTAGCACCGGATGTATTCTCCTTCTATAAATTCGTATCTCATTGTCCGAACACGTTTATAATTTACAGATACAATTTTAGCTGCAAAAGATGAGAACTCATTTAGAAGAGTTCAAAATTACATTGGAACCTTGAATTAACCATACATTAAACTATATTTCTTACCTGAAGAACTGGAAAACGTTGAAGATCCTTTACAGCGTCATGTGGATGCAAACGTAGGTCAATGTCTGCTTTACTCCAAATTTCCAGAACGTCAATAGGAGGGAATCACCTCTTCTGAGACATTCTTTTAGGTGTTTATGAGCACTTTCGACATGGTAGTTTGTGTGGTTGCCCAGGCATAATACAGGTCGCCGGTAACAGCGAGCCCACATTGACTTCCTGGCAATCCAGTAATCTTTTATGTAATCATACGCCCGTGGGAAATGCGTCCTTAGATGTTCGTACTTTCGGGCAAATCTGAATATAATGCGTTATGAAAAGCGAAGCTCACATATCAGACCGTCCAGTCTTCACGAAGTGTTCCAAGCATTTGCGCACACCAGGGTTTCGGAACTACAGATAGTTTGTACAGCTAACACATACCTTCCTGAAAAACGCTCTCAGGACATGGAATGAACAAAGTAATATGTTAAAATGACCGTGCGTAGAATGCACAGCTGAAATTTCGGTCGCCGCCGAATGCATAATGAAAGTGCGTGTAGCATAAGTACCGCACATTATCTCTTTAAAAAATTCCAATATTTTTTCGACATCTTCGCGTCGTTCTTGACCGCGAAGAATGCCCTGGTACGGCCGAGAGTGGGGTGGGTTCGCCCTCCCTCTCGAAATACTCTCACACGGCCGCGCGTATACAGCCTCTGCCAGGAAAGTCCTATTCATTGCCTTCTCGTGGCGGGGGTGTTTTTACGAAATGAGAGAACGAAAATCGAATGTCCGGCGCTTTAACCGGATCATAAACAAATGGTGCACATGGGCTGCAGTATTCTGTGGAAACAAATGGCGTATGAACCAATTGTTAGTCACCGGCTACCATGGGATTGCATCTCCTTACGCAGCCCCTAAGATAACCACCTGCTTCGGTTTGGGCACCCGGGCAGTGTCACAGCCCACACACAAATGTTGAACCCTCTATGTCTATGGAAACTACTTTTCTCGCTTCGAAAACCAACCAATGGATTCAAATTATTATCATTACTATTATTGTCAATATTATTAATACTATTATTATTGTTACTATTATTACATTATTATCATTATTATTATTATTTACCACATTATACACCCTCTTTTATACTCATACAGCGGCTCGTTTTTAGTGGAAATTCGAGTGTATCTAAACGTTCTCGAGTCACTGTCCGGTTGAAAATTGTATGTTACCACTGAATATGAGTACTGAAGCAGTTTTTCTGAAACCACGTGCACCATTCAAACTGGCTGCCTTCAACGTTCGCACACTTATGCAGGTCGGACAACAGATAGGGCCGGCTATGTTTTTGGAAAGTCTTAATATCGATGTCTGCTGTCTATCCGAGACCCGTATTCAAGACTCTGGTGAAGTACTACAAATTCGCTCTCCATATGTCGCTTCGAAAAGCTTGATTTACGTGCGCTTATCCTGGGACCCTGTGGCATCTTCGTCTGGTCTTGCTGGCGTTGGTGTCGCACTGAGCGCTAGAGCTGAGGTAGCACTAATCGACTGGATCCCCACTAACTGTCGGTTATGTGCTGTTAGATGAGAGTTCCATCAAAGTGAGCAGAAATCGGCGTGAGAAACGATGTCTTTTCGTCATCGCCTATGCCCCGACAGATTGCAGCCCGGATCCAATCAGGGATGAGTTTTACCACCAGCTGTCTCTTCTTCTCCAGAAAGTGCGCTCGACAGATATTGTAGTACTAGCCAGAGACTTGAATGCGCAGGTCGGGCGTCTGGGCACAGAAGAGAGTCGTTTAGGTGGCCGATGGGGACTTGTTGGTCGCAGGACAGATAACGGGGACCGTGTACTGCAACAGTGCACAGACCACAAACTGTTTCTGGCTAGCACTAACTTCCGACACAGTCATCGCCGTTGTGCCGCCTAACATCCTTCCTCTGCATCCCAAGCCTGGACTCAGATTGATCACATCGCGATCATCTACCGTTGGCGTGGTTGTGTACAAGACTGCCGCTCCTTTTGGAGTACCTATCTGGACTCTGACCATGCTTTGGTCTGCGCCAATCTTACCTTACTTTTCAGTGGACAACGCAGTGACCGCCACCAACGGATTAATGTTAGCAAGCTGGTTGCACCTTCTGTTGCTAGTAAGTATCGAACCAAGCTAACTGCAATTGCAGGACGCCATGAAAATGGCGGGAACAGTCAGTTGTGGGTTTGCGAAACGTCCCGCTTATAAGCACTGGGTTTCTTCTGGTTCCTTACAACTTATTGAAGCCCGTCGGTCTACTCCGGGTGACCGTGAGTTTGACCATAAACGAAGGATGTTACGTAAGGAAATTGGGCAAAGCTTGCGTAAGGACCGAGAAGCCTGGTGGTCGGAGCGTGCTAATGAGCTGGAAGCAGCAGCTGCATCTGGTAATTACCGGAAGATCCTCCAACCCATCCGAGCCACTGGCAGCAAGAAGTCTGGTGTGATTAAACAATCTGCGAGGATGATGGGATGCCAATCACTAACATCCATCGACGTCTTGGACGATGGGCAGAATTTTTCGAAGGGCAGTTCAACTAATCTGCTACTCCGGCAACATCGGTCAGACTGTCCTGCCCTCCATGGCCGGTGACGACTGATCCACCAAACGAGGAGGAAGTCCGCAAGGAACTCCAATTCTTGAAGCGTTACAAATCACCTGGCCCAGATGACTTACCTCCGGCTCTTTATAAAGATGGTGGTGACTTTTTGACTAAGGAATTGACGACGTTGTTTACAAAGGTGTGGAAGCTAGAGAGTGTACCAACGTCATGGAATGAGTCGATAGTTGTCCCTATCTTTAAAAAGGGTTCACGTCGTTCCTGCAACAACTATCGGGTGATAAGTCTACTTCCGATTGCGTCCAAGCTATTGGCTTCCGTCATACTTCGTAGGTTGTTCAAAACCCGAGAAAGATTGACTCATGAGGAGCAGGCTGGGTTTCGTTCTGGTCGAGGTTGTATTGATCATATCTTCACCCTCCGCCAAATGTTATAGCATCACCATACTTATCAAAGGCCAACAATCGTAGTTTTTCTTGACATCAGGGCTGCCTCCGATTCGTTGGACAGGACTGTTCTCTGGGATTGTCTATTGAAGAAGGGTGTGCCTGAGAAGTTTATTCACATCCTAAAAGTCCTATATACAAACACCTCAGGTAGAGTGAGGGCATACAACCACCTCTCTCCATTGTTCCATTCGAATAGTGGGGTTAGGCAGGGTTGCCCAATCTCACCATTCCTCTTCAACTTTACCATCGATGACATTCTGGAAACAGCTCTGATGGATGTAAGTATTGATGGTGTGGATCTGTTGCCTGGAGAAAGATTTCTCGACCTTGAGTATGCGAATGATATTGTCTTACTGTGCGATAATGCCCAAGCCATGCAATCCTCACTTAATCAGTTGGCAATCAGTGTCCGTAGATATGGTATGTGCTTTGCACCTTCGAAGTGCAAAGTACTTCTACAAGACTGGCAAAATTCTAATCCTGTACTCACACTGGATAGTGAGCAGATAGACGTAGTCGAGAAGTTCGTGTATCTGGGTAGCTGCATAAATGCTGGTGGGGGGGGGGTGAGTGATGAGATCAATGCACGTATAGTGAAAGCCAGAGCGGCTTATGCCGATCTGGGCCACCTTTGGCGCCTTCGTGATGTTAGTCTGGCTGTAAAAGGTCGGATCTACAACGCGTCGGTGAGAGTAGTTTTGCTCTATGCTTGTGAAACCTGGCCTCTCCGAGTTGAGGATGTTAGATGACTCTGTGTTTGGTCATCGTTGTCTCCGAAGGATTGCTGACATTCAGTGGCAACACCATGCCAGTAATGCAGAGGTTCGGGCACACAGATGATAATGCAATCGATGTAACTATCTTGAAACACCGACTTCGGTGGCTTGGACATGTTCTACGAATGTCGTCCCAGAGAATTCCACGTCGTGCATTATTTGCCGACTCTGTGACTGGTTGGAAAAAGCGGAGAGGTGGTCAGTGCATGACATGGTTTGAAAGAAATCTGCAAAGGGCTGGTTTGTATCGGCCCTTCACGACTCCCTGGTTGGGGTCTGAGAGATGGTGCTACACAGTGGCTGGAAACGTTATCAGATATGGCTCAAAATAGAAGTCAGTGGTGATCCTGCTGTAACCTTCTTTTACTTTCTTCATAAAAAGTGTTGGTGTCTCCCTTAAATGGAAGATTTTTTTCCGATTGCACCTTTCCGTTCCGTCATTACTACCTTACACCAACCTCTTCGTTATTGTTCCGCTTTGTTTTGCTTTCCTTAGCTTTTTTTCCATTTCTATTCGAATTCTGTTTGTTTTGTGTGGCGCATATATATTGGCGCTCTCTTCTACCAATATTCATGTGTTCAAATATATAAATAAATAAATAAACACAACAGTCTGCCCTTGCCCAAGAATATCAGTCACCACTAGCTGGAACAGTGGAAGACTTTGAGATAAATTTGTTACTAATCGTTACTTCCCCGATTTTATTGGTCTGATTAGTCGAATCAATACATATTACCTCCGGGAACGCGTGGTAAACGGCTATTTGCTCTCTGCGGCTGAAGCAAATCATAGACATGTTCCCATTTTCATTGAATACTTTGTAGCGGTAAATAAATCCCCGAAATAAATAGCTCTGTAAGTTTTTGACTTGGATGCTGACCATATGTTTTAGTGGACTCATCTAGATGAAGGCGCTCGGTCATGCATCCGCACCAGATCACGTGTGGTAACGCTGTGCTCAACATCTATCGCAATCGCTAGCCAGATGAGAGCAGAGAATTCCGATATATTGGTTATCGCCAAATACACTCTTCCGATCACCTCGACTCTGTCTTTTGATTTCTCTCGGTGGGAACAAATTATATTGGAAGGTGTTACTGGTAGAAGCGTTGTCAAACACTGAATACCTGTATCAACTTCAGTATTTGCTTGAACGCGCTGTAAAATGTCATTGGTATTCTTAGTGTCTAAACTCAATTAATTATGTGAGTTCAACAACCTGGGTACAACTGTGAACGCATTCTGTCGATATCGTCCTTGGTAAGCTGTTTATTGAACTCCCAAGAAACCAGATACCGTAAGCTATGAGTTGGTGTATTACTCAGTAGAAACGTTCTTAAATACAGGCGTTCACTTGAGGTCAACTGTCGTGTCGATGGATCAACAGAAATATATCCTTCTGTGCAAGGATGGTTGTGCACGGTTTTAATAGAGGAGAGTTTCAACTCACCATTTACTGCCCGGACCCAAAATCCTGATTGACAATGGCAATATTTCGACCTGAAGGATAAATTCATTTGAAGCAAGACATACGTAGATGACCGACGTTGTCTCCTTTGCCTAGGTTTGTCGGCGAATTAGAAGTTGTATGCTCTTCAGAAGAATGATTATTACTATCATCTACATCCTGAACGCAAGCACCTGACTCTGGTGAACTGCGTTTACATCCATATGTACAGACATATCTCACGAAAAAGTACTTTAAAGTTGGATCATCACTGTTCTTTTTGCATAATGACATAACGTACTTAGTATGCGTATACTAAAAAAATAATTATTAACCACAGGTCATATTACCTTATGTACTTCTTTCAAAAAGGTCTCAAAATTGTCCCAACCTGTAAATCTTCGAGATAACATAATATCATTGAAGATTCGTCCTATATCATGCATCATCACAATGGCATCGTCTTCGTTTCTTGAAGAATGAACGTTACCAGACATGGTGTGGCCGAACTCAATTCAAATCTGAAAATGTATTGATTTGACCGCTTCTGAAAATTTTCACGAATTGTCGATGTGACGCACCAATCATTTTGCGACAGTTTGACCTTCAAGTGCTCGCAACCCTCATTAGTGGACGATACCCTAGGAGCGTTGCCAAAGGCTTCTTAGAAGTGCAGTCGGTGGGAGGTACGTAATATGATATGAGTTTAAATATGAGGTATGGCAAATCTTTAAAATGGATGAATCGAATGCAGACTAAGTGGGAACACTGTATACATGGATATATGATAAATAATACAGTTACTAAAAAATTTGACATTTTTCAATTCGTTGGAAGTAATTATTGTTTTATCAGTAGAGATAAAAGTATGCTTTAGGGACAAGCTTAAAACAACTCCGAAGAACCTCCAGCTATTTTTTATTCAATCAGAAACCAGATTTTTTGACAAATAGTATACATAAAATAAAGTCGAAATATTGCCAGTGTGACCGATTCCACATAGGTTATAAACTTAGTAAAGTATTCAAGCTAATCTGCCTGCTAATCGAAAAGACATTGACATACTAACTTTACCTTATGAATGTAGATTGTTCATCTCGAACCGTCATGTAATTATGTAGATAGTGCTAGTTAAAAACAGGTGATGCTCTGCGCAAACCTGTAAAAAAAGACCTCTGTTACGTGACTTGTGACCAGAGAGTCCTCATTTGGCACTTATATAAACCCCTGTACCTATATCCTGGACTTGCACGTCCAAATTCTCGACTGGCACTACAACATCTCTTAAACGCCGTTCTCGGTGAAGATCGCTTAACTGGCGATGGAACTCATTTTTAACTCCATGCTGGTTGCAATATGTTGGGGCACAGACGGAAATAACGAAACGATATTGTTTCCCACACCGATTTTTCACTTTAATAGAGCTTTCTAATCTAACAGCACATAATTGTCTGTCAATGAGAATCAAATCGATTAGTGCTGCCTCAACTCTGGTGGTTAGTGCGACACTAAGGCCATCAAGACCGGACGAAAATATCCCATGGTCCTTGGATAGACTCATGTGAAACAAGCTTTTTGCGTCGGCAAATGTGCAACACTTCACTAGAGTTGGGATAAACAATGGATGTTTGTATTAAGACTCTTTAAGTACATGACCGAACCTACCTGTTGTCCGATTTGCATTAATGTGTGAACATTGAAGCAGTTTGAATGGGACATGTGGTTTTAGAAAGGTCAGTTCAGAACACGTATTCGTTCCATTATAGCTAAGCTGCTGTATGAGTTGAGAACTAAAAGAACACTCAAAATGGGAATAAAGAGAAATAAATTAGTGAAGTTATGTAAACTGAAAATGAATGTTATCAGGTAATTGTGAATTAAATTTGCGAGAATGTGAATCAAAGCGAAAAATAATTCGTTGTTTGTAATCGTCGTTATGTTTGTGTGTAAACTAAGCTACTCTCCGGGTTCTCAAATCGAGGCTGGTGGTTTTCCTACAGAGGCAATCCTCGAGCAGTTAACTCAGAATTCTAATCCAAAAGACACTTAAGCAATGTTAGAATATAAAATCCTATGGTAGCCTGTGACCAGGAATAGGTTCCTGGAGCTCATGTGTACTATTGACTTGGAATCAGGGTTTTCCAACTCCCCTAGGTTGATCTTCCGTACCCACCTCATCGGGGTATTCGGTGGATGTATGTAGTACATGTTCCAACCTCAGATGCATTCCAGTTGCGAAGCAGAATTTATCATATAGATGTGGAGAAATGCATCCCAAACATGCTAGCATTGTTGCTTAAGGGGTTCAGAAGACTCTTCGTTTTGTCTTCACCAAACAGGGCCATATCAGCTGCATATTTTAAGTCAATAAGTGGATCTCCTAGCACATAAATCCCCAAAGTCAGACGATAAGAGCGTTATCTCTAAGATGATGTCTCCGAGAAAGTTAAATAGAAATGAGATAAGCGGATAACCATTACGACGAACACCATTCAAAGTTATCGATTCTGTAGGCGTACGGGAATCCTAAATGCATCGATACGGTCTGTTTGTAAGTTTCTGTCGTTATTTATTTACTTTTTACGATTTCGCATACCGTTTCTAGGATTAATTTTTTTAATTTGCATACACGGTTCTCTAAGTGATTACCAACTGATTCGGTTGTGATTCTGCAGTAGGGTGATATATACTTCAATCTTTCACCTCATTTTTAGTCATTTGTGCAGAAGTTTCAATAAACATCACCAAATATATTCGTTTCAATCTATATTTCAATTCACTGAGAAGTGAAATATGCTTGGAGAATACTTTATGGCCTCAAAATCAAATATCACAGCATGTAAACACTTGGTTACTATTAAGAATATAATAAAATCCAGGTACACTACAATGATACCAAAAAACATGGATTGCAAGCACACCTTAAGGACTTGTTCAAACAGCCAGTTAGTAATAGACTAATTAGGACTTGCCACTATTGTGTATCGGTTTGATTTGCTACAAAGTGGATTACATTTTATGCAAGTTCAAACTTTCACATTGTTAATTATATGGGACTGAACTGATAAACCTTAATTGATATGGGAATTTTTTGTACATACATGTTGTTGCATCATATCTAGAATTCGATGGTAGCTTGTAAAGAACTTGTAGATGTACGTTCGATCCCCTCTGATAATAGTCAACTGAAATCAAGTCATTTTAGAAAAATAGAATTAATTCTTTCAAAGTGACTATGAGTTTATGGGATAATTGTGTCTTTATGTAAGTAATTAGTAAAAACCCCACTTTATATTTAATTACTTCAGTGACATTTTTTACGATGTTATATAAATATGTGGATATACAATATAAGGAGAACTATACCTGAATATGAAAACCGTTTTTTGACTGACACATCGGACGTTCTCATTCATTCGAAAACTTATGCCTAACATTTGCTCAGCCTGCCCGAAGAAATTCACTCTTCCAGAAACTGGTTCTGGCATTTGTCAGTCGTGTAATGAATTTTATTGTTCAGACTGTTCTTCAACTGGTCCAGGTAGGTTTAAAGGTGATTTGGTTAGACCGAAGTACGAGTTAGTTTTTAATAAGTTGAGCTAGGATTCAAATATTTTTAAAATATGTTTCATCAACTTTTTTATATCATTCTTATTAAGTTCCTGATGCCTGGAAACTCAGACGTCTAATAATTTTTATTGACAAATTTAAAGTTTAATTTTTGGACGTATTATAATGAGACTTAAAGGGATTTCAGCAAAAATTAACGATTTCATTTCAGATGTCATGTATATACATACAAAAGACCATCTTAACGTCTGAGCGTATTAAGTATAAGCGTCCTAAATAACATACACTGTCAGTTACCAGGATTTTGTGTAGGTGCACCTAAAGAGATTAGTGCTAGACGATTTGTTTATTTATTTGAACACATAAATATTGGTACAAGGGGACAACAAATATATATGCGCTACACGATTCATCTAAATTCAAGAAAGTGATCTGCTTACAATAACGAAAAATTGGTCAGATAAAAAGCTGTGAGACATGTTTCTCGAATCACTTGTTGATTAAGGTGATCGAAAAGATAATCTTCCCACAGGACTGAGCCCCGACTCTCAACTAGACCAGGTTCAAAAGTCAAACCTTGCTAATTAAGTGCGTAATAGAGAAACAAAACTTATATAAAAACGAGCTAATTAATAAATGGTGCGACCCAGTTAACTAATTAAAGATATGAATAAAGGTTATGGAACAACAGGCAATATGGATTCACTCCCACTATTCCTGTCATTAAAACAGCTAGATCGAAGATTAACTAGCATGTTACTCTTCAGGATATTAAGTAGGTAAGTTCAAAGAGAATTGTAAATTATTAGTGATCAACAGCATATAAATTTAATAAACTGATTAAAGTAGCCGAATGTGAACCTCAGACTACGGGATTGAAATGGTGGATGGAATTTTCTGTTCTTCGTTAGCTCGCTAGTCGGTCTCATTCGGTTACAGTTTGATTAAAACCCGTATTTCTCCTGGATAGTATTGATCAATTCAGAAGTAATATCTAGACATTATTCTTAATTGTACAATAATTTCGATCACACTATTGATTTGTTGTTTGTGTCGTTGCTACTTACACGTTAATAACAAATGTAGCATTGTATTCTATGGTAGGAATTGACCTTTCATTTTCATCATTGATTTGTTGTTTATCACTATATTATTTTAATCGCTTGCTCTGCAAATTAATCAGCTTAATTTTATTAAATGAGCAATATTTAGTATCATACGTGACTAGCTGTTCAGTATTATAAATTGGTTTTCCTGATTATTTAGAGTTTGTAGAATTGTTCTCATTATTCTTTGTATTCTCACTGATTATTATTTTAATATCCATTTTAAAAATTAAATTGTGCTTGTAACTGTCGTGTCGGTGAAATTAACTAAATGAACTAGTTGTGTGAGAAAAGAATTAAAACAATTCATCTGAAAAATGTCTTTTTGACAATATTTAATTTAGCTAGAAAGTCGCATTTATTTTTTAATTTTTGAAAATAATGGTCTATAATGAAATAAAAATGTGTTGTGTTACCTAAAAATTATCAAGAGTAATCAAAAGTTTTAAATATCAAATATGATACTGTAGAATAAAACAAGTTATTGCGTAATTCAACAAATTTATCTTAATTTGTATTGCTTCATGAATTATTTGGGAATATCAAATATTGGAAGAAGGTTATGTAGTAATCTAGTACTTAATGAGGATACATTAAGATGAAGACAGTTTAAAGACGATAAATAATTATCTATTTGATGAATATGGAAAAAATTATCAATAGATGTCGGAATAATTATTTAATTTTCTCTCCATTCTACTTTATGGATGTGAAACATGGCCATTAAGAGTAGAGGATATTCGTAGGTTACTGGTATTCGATCATAGGTGTCTTTGAAACATTGCTTGTGCATTTTCGAACCACGGATTAAGCAACGCCTGGGTTAGGAAATTTTCATCAACTGAGGTGATTAGGACGTGTTACATATGCCAATCAACCGCCTGTCCGGTCTAGGAGTATGCAGAAAGTTGAAGGAGGCTAAATCAAAACATAGCGTCAGTCTGTGAAGTCACTGAAAACTGGACTTAGCCATGTTAATAGGTGTAGACTACTTGGTTGGAGACTTTCAATAATATGGCCCAAAGTCATTTGCAACGGTGCAGGTGCATCCGTTCTTCCTCTTCTTCAAAATTCTAAATTCCTTATGACTTTTATGTTTTTATTTCGCTAATTTATAATTTATTTTCGAGTCGCGCCTTTGATGGTAATGTTTCCTATTATCGCTAACACTTACCACCTGTGCTATTCTGGGGTTTGGCCTGAAAATTTCATCTCTCTGTTCTAATCGAGGTATGGGAACTGGAAGTGATGTAAACACGTACAGGTTCCACGTTGTGACTGACTGGAGTCTAGCCTATTTATCTCGAATTTGTGCGTTCATTAAGTCTTTTATTCGTTTTAACAACACTCTGTTGAAAACTTTTCTTGGTGTTGTTATGTTCGTTACGTGAATGCTACTACTGATTCGTCTTACTCGGGACGGAACGAAGAATCAAGGATTCAGAGACTCGACAGGCTATATATATAATCGATATTGCCATGAAAGTTTTTAAACATTTAATCGATAAGTTCGTCAATCAACTATGTGCGTGGGTGGTAAGAAATGCCCAAGCGTACATCTGCATACAAGCTCGACAAAGATAAAATTACAAAATATGAGTTTTTTGGATCTAACATCCCCAACATTCCTCCCATTTTTAATAGCGTGCGTTCCTGGGGTCGACGTGCATCTTGACTGTTGCTCGTCGCTGTCAAAGAAGCCACCGCCTGGAACGTGTTTCAGCTTGTTGTTGAGGTTTTTCTTGTGGTGGAGCTACCGGTTAGTTGAATGTGTCTAGCAGGATGTCAAGGGGAATATTTGCTTCGGTTGGTGGGCGGTCTGTGGCTAGCCGTTTGTGTAACTGATTCCGATGGCGTCGCCACCTGTCAATGCCTACCTCAACTTCGTACATGACTCGGTCAACTCTCGTCGACTGAATTCTCGGGTATTGATCTCCTGCCAGGAGGTCCACTTATCGACTTAGAATACGCAGATGACATAGTCCTGTTTGGTGAAGACGCTGACAAAATGCAGAGTCTTCTGGTAGCACTAAGCAACAATGCCAGAATGTTTGGAATGCGCTTCTCTCCCTCTAAATGCAAGTTGTTGCTTCAGGACTGGCCTGTGTCAACACCTGGACTAAGGATAGGGAGTGGAGTAGTCGAACGCGTTGACAACTTCACTTGTCTTGGAAGTCTGATCAGCCCTAATGGATTGGTATCGGACGAAATCTCAGCACGGATTCGAAAAGCCCTTTTGGCTTTTGCCAACCTACGTCACCTTTGGCGAAGGCGAGATATCCGTCTATCAATAAAAGGACGAGTATACTGCGTGGCAGTTCGTTCTGTTTTAATTTACGGCAGCGAAACATGGCCTTTAAGAGTAGAAGACACTCGTAAGTTACTAGTATTTGACCACAGATGCCTCAGAAATATTGCTGGCGTCTGTTGGGATCACCGGGTAATTAATAGTGAGGTTCGACGCAGGGTATTAGGGAATGATGGTAAATCAGTTGATGAGGTTGTGAATCTCCATCGACTGAGATGGTTGGGCCACGTGTTACGCATGCCTAAACACCGATTACCGCGACGTGCAATGCTAACCGGTGTAGGTGATGGTTGGAAGAAAGTTAGGTGCGGTCAAACCAAAACGTGGCATCAGTGCTTGAAGTCACTAACTTCTAGTCTGGGCCATGTTGGTAGATGCAGACTACTTGGTGGGGGTCCGCGTGACTTTCGTAACCAATGGTTGGAGACTCTTGGTGACATGGCTCAGAATCGGTCACAATGGCGTCGGTGTATACACTCACTGTCTTCCCTTAAACTAAGAGATTAAAATCACTTCATATCTTTCTTTCTACTAACTAATTCTTTCTTCCTATACTATATCCTTATTGCAATCTTTCTCTTATATACTACCACCTTTGACCTAACCACTCCTATGAATCCGGTGTTCATCTTGCTGTGCTAATGAGGTATAGCAACCTGGACCGATGCACATATGTGCCTGGTCCTACGTTGTAGCTGACTGACTGACTCTTTCGACCACTCACGCTTCCGTCCATGGACCATGGGTTGGTCTGTAGTCACGGGAAAACACAGTACATCCCACTTCGTACGTGGATTGCTTTTCAAACTTTGTCCGTTCTGGTGTCGGTGCATTACTTGGATGCATTAGACTGTGGATCGTCTTCAGTCTTCTTCTCATGAGGATCTCTGCTGTGGACTTTCGCTCCGGCAACGTCTCATTTGGTGTTGTTCTGTATACGTATAAGAAATTTCGCAACGCGTCCGCTGGCGTTCCCTCCCCTTTTTGACTTAGCCAAAGCTCTTTTGAACGTATCCACAAACCTTTCCGCTTGCCCATTCAACTGCGGGTGGTCTGGTGGTGACTGAAAGTGCTTTATCGCTAGCCGTTGACAGAATGATTGGAATTGGCTGGAGGTGAACTGTGAACCGTTGTCAGATACGATGACATCCGTTATACCATTTCGGGAGAAAATTTCTCTGATGATTTGTATTCGTTTAATCGTCATTGGCGGTATTCTAGGGTTGATTTCTGGCCATTTCGAAAGAGCATCGACCACAACTAGATACATGGTTCCGTTAATCGGTCCTGCAAAGTCGACGTGTATCCTGGACCAAGGATGATCAGGTTGTGGGTATGAAACTGGTGGAACATTAACGTTCACCTTTGCCGCTTGCTGACACCGCATACATTTTCCAACCAATTCTGTTATATGTTGATCCATTAGCGGCCAATATGCATGACTCCTGGCTATGGATTTCATTCGTCTAACCCCCGAATGACCAAAGTGGAACTGTTTTAGCACTTTTGCACGAAGGGATTCTGGCACAACCACTCTTTCTACGAACATCAAGCAGT